TTTTGCAAGAATATGGCTATTATAACACAACAGAATAGAATTATTGCAATAAAAAAAACAAAATGCCCGTAGAAACACCGCTCTTTTAATGAATCATCGTGGCGTAAATAAATATTTTTAAACAAAGAAGTACCTATGTGCCTAAAGCTTAACCTTTCCTGGTTTTTTGTTCTTTTATAAAAGTTTTGGATAATCTCTAGTATCTAATTTTTACTACATAACTACCCACTACAGCTACACTCAAATAGTAAAACAAATATAATATGATGAGAAATTACAGTATACAATAAAAATATGAATAACAAATAGACATATACTTACTTTTTCCGGCACTGCAAACACTGACATCGATTCACAGCCACACTTTTATGTTCAAAATCCCAGAAACAAATGATTAACGTTTTATTTTTGGCATTCGTATTTGTACTAATGTAGATTGCAAGCACATCGCAAATCGCAATTCATCCCTTTGCAGGTCTAAGCAAGCATCTTGGACGAGCGGGCGCACGGGCGGCACTTTGCAAGTCTCGACATGTGGTGTACACTTGTACTATTATCTATTGTTCTATTAAATTCTGTATTTGAACAGCGTCTCGCATATTTTTGAGTACATACCTAGTGAATGATGCTACCTGCCTACGTTGATASCTAAATTTTCTGAATCTTGAACTTCTACCTTTTTAAAGATAGAGAATCAGTTAAATGGGTAAAATTGGGCAGAATTTGATTGCCTATTTATTACCGTTTTCAAAATTTAGGTACCCGACTTGGTTCCTGAATTATCCTGAAAAGACAAGAAATCAACACTTTTTAATTATCACTTATTACGTAAACTGCTTAACTTAGAAAAAAGTTAAAATTGCCCTTAACACAACTTTTTGCGTTGAATCCAATAAACTAACACTCGTTATCATCGTCAACTTGATTTGCGAGATAAAAATAAACTAATGTTTTTTAAATGGTAACCATAGTTGGCTGTGGGCCTTTTAAAATCCTTATTTTTTTCGGAATTTAACGATATAATTGTTTGTATGTTTTTCTCCTTTTCCTGCCGTAAAACTTCAAAAGAAGATAAAAAATGTGTAGTAGGCTATGGAAACAAGAACTATATTATCACACAAAGCTCAAAACAATAATGAATCTTTTAAATTAAATGTTCAAATTGACTTCCGTTTACGTCCAGGTWTTTTTTGGCATCTTCACATTCAACTCGTGAGTTGTGTGAAGGTGCACTAWCATGTTGTAAATAAGCCAATTTTCGATACGATGCTAACGGAAAACTATTCAACATGTCTTCAAGTTCATTTGGTAAAAAGTGTAAATATCTTACCATATTTAAATTGTGATTATAAAAAAATGGACCAATAATTTTATCACTAAAAATGCCTCACCAGACATTCACAAAAAAAAACACGTTGACCTCGCCTACTTTCAATTAGATGATGATTTTAATTAGCTCAGTAAACATGATTGTGTTTGTTAATTATTTCGTTATTGTTTTGTGCTTTGTGTGATAATATATTTCTTGTTTCCATAGCCTAATATACGTTTTTTTATCATCTTGAAGTTTTACGGCTACAAAAGGAGAAAAAAATACAAACATGAATGTCAACATCGTTAAATTCAGAAAAAAAATAAGGATTTTAAAAGGCCCACAGCCAACTATGATTGCCATTTAAAAAATCATGTTTATTCTTTATCTCGTAAATCACGTTGACTATGACGACTGCTAGTTTATTGAATTCAACGCAAAAAGTTCGACCAAAGACAATTTTAACTTTTTTCCTAATTTAAGCAGTTTACGAATTATATGATAATTAAAAAAGTGTTGATTTCTTGCCTTTTCAGAATATTTCAGAAACCAAGTCGGGTACCTAAATTTTGAAAACGGTAATGAATAGGCAATCGAATTCTGCCCAATTTTGCCCATGTTTTTATGAAAAGTCAAAGCGGTAATGATGTTTTTTGTCATTAACAGATAGTTACAGCCCTTGTCAATAATAACAATAATTTGTCAAACTGTGACTTACTTTGAATTTCCTTTCACCAATTTGCGGATATGAGATTAGTTCAGGGGAAATGCTACAGTAACATAGCAGAAGGTGAAAGAACTCACGCCAACAAAGGGCGAGGAGAGTGGCTTCAGGAAGATAGTGGACGACAATATTGTAACGGAAATGGCCTGGGGTACTCACGTTTGGAATGGGGGATCGAAATTCATGGTATTTCAGTAAATGGGAGCCCCATTTGGGCCCCATTTACTGTCAAATATGACACTGACAAGCGGGAAGTTTCGCACCTGTTCTGGAGATTTCTAGAACTATCTGGAATACCTGAAGAAAAGTATATAAGCGACGAGGAGAACCAGAAGAGAAGAGTGAAGTGACAGCCGCGCCTGAGTGCAGAAGAAGTTAAACCCGCGAGTCGGAAATCCGTATTTTCCGTGTGTTATTGTTATCGTTTGTGAAGTT